TTCTTTTTGTGTGAAATCACTTGTTTGTGGGAAGCTCCTTGCAGCATGTGACAAACACAATTTCACTTCTTTCTTTTTCTTGTTATATACAAGACGGTGTTGTAAAAATTAAACTTTCTCTTTGTATCTCTAAGAGTTTGTCTGCAATCACATTTTCTGTTTTAAAGGTTTTTGACTTTAACATTTCTTTACTTTATTGTGCACATTTATTATGTATTTTTCATCAATATGGTTTTGGTTAAAGCAACAACCAAACTTTGTTATGGCAAAGAGAAGCTTCTATTTTCTACTGGCATTGTTTCATTATTCATGTGTGAGAGACGACTGTAAAATGTGTTTTGTATGTCAATTACTGCAGTGAGAAGTAGCAGAAAAGGCAGATTTTCATTCGCTTGGCAGGTGTTCATAAGTCGATCTGCATATGGGCAGATTATGTAAACATGTAACGTCAACGTGTTGACAGATACTTGTGCCTGGTGTGTTCACAGCTCAGATGCAATTCTACCAACTAATTTCCCCCAAAATAAATAAAACAACACGCTGATTTTAATAAATCCAAACCCGAAGGTGTGCTTGTGTATATAGTATACCAGAGATGCATACAATTGAATGGATGTGAGCTTTCTCAATGAGTTAAACTGCCTCGGGTGATGCCAGTGTTAGTTGGGACTTAAGCATACAAATCCAAAAATAAAATAAAGATAGATATGCAGAGAAATGTGGGAATGACTGCAAGTGAGCTTACCAGAACCTCACACTCGGGATTAAATCAAGTTAGACATTTGCTTTTCGAGTAATTTACAGTTGATGCCAAGAAACGGAGAGCATGTGAGACAGAAGATGCAGCATCTCTGGTTTTGCTTTGTTTTTTGGCTCCCCCCTTATTTAAAGTTGAACTTTGTAGTCGTATCAGCAGCTAATCTGTGGATAGCTTAAAGTATTTTTTATTTTTTTTGCAGTTCACAGCTGTATTTATGCCTTGAATGAGCAGGGGTAATAAAGAACAGAGATGGTAGTGTTCCAGCGCAGCGCTTCTTCAGGGTCGCTAGCTCCATTAAAACAATGTGATATGTGTCCGGTAGCTAAACAGTCTGCTGCAGTAAACAGCCAACACATGATTAATTGCCGCACACGGAAGAGTAAAGGTCCAGTGATTGTGCCTGATGTCATGATAGGGGTGTCTCTCACACACACAGTCATCATCACATGGTCACTAAGCATCATTTTGTGACTAATCACAGGAAAGTGTCAGGGTTAAGAGGGAAATTAAGATTAAAGAGTGGACTTGCTGCTTCTCTTTCACTCTTCTCAACTCACACGAGTGGGGCCATAAGGTCAAGTTCTGACTCAGGACTCCTTCCCACCCTGTTTCCTTACCAGAATGATTCCACCTGATATTTCCAAATGTTATAGTGTGAAACCTGACAGTCTTCGCGTCACACACCATGGCAGCCCATTTCCTGTGTGGCTGTAAACACAGGGAACTTGTGAAAAGCTTGTAAAAGCTTTCACTTAGACTTAAGTAAACCTGCAAATGCGCACACGCACGCAACAAGCAAATTTCACATGCAACACTTCCTGGTCTGACCAGTCCTTGGAGCAGTATAGTTTTTACCTCTATGCTGCCACCTGCTGGAGAAGTTTTGTTTTACTTTTTGGATTATTTATTTATTTTTTTTCCCCCTCCTCGTGTATAGAGAACGGGTTTTACTAATTTCATTTCGTTGTACTTCTGCAGGATTTGGTGGACTGGCGGAAGCCCCTGGCATGGCAGGTGGGCCACCTCAGAGAGAAATATGATGCGTGGGTACACCAACCAGTTGACAGACCTATCAGACTGTTTGGAAACCCCATCATGGAGGCCATCACTAAAACTTCTTGGTAAGAAAGGAAGCTTGAAGAAAAATTAACCATTTATCAGATAAGAACATACATTCAGTTTTGCAGGCTTGGCAATCACTCGTGCAACGTTTTCACAGAATTTTACTGTTATTTATTAAGTTTATATTTATATATCAACCAGCTGGAGGTGAGGGACCCGAGACAGGACAAAAGAGACACTGCTGAAGAGCGCTAGAGATTAATAATTCCTAATGACTAATACACTAGCAGTTTATAAACATACAGGGAGTGAAAAGAGAAGCTTGGACCCATTGCAGCATAACTAAGAGAGAATTCAGGTTCACCTGATCCAACCCTAATTATGCTTTATCAAAGCCTGATTTTAAAGTATAGAGGGTGTCTGTCTCCTAAATTCAAACTGGGAGCTGGTTCCATGGAAGACAGGCCTGAAAGCTCTGGGCTCTGCCTCCCATTCTACTTCTAAATACTGTAGGAACCAGACATAAGCCCGCAGTCCGAATGTGAAGTGCTCTAGTATACAGGTACAATGGTCCAGCCTAGAAGTAATAAATCACGAACTAGTTTTTCAGTATTACTCTGAGACAGGATGTTTCTGTGTTTGCAGGTATTGCACAAATACAATAAAAGTGTCCTGCATACTTGTTTGTTGTGGTCTTTGAAGGATACATCCTGGTTTAAAAAAAATAAAAATAAACAAATAAAATAACTCCAAGTTTCCTCAGTATTACTGGAGGCCAGGCAATTACTGAGGGAAAGTAAATGGAAACATTTATGCAATGGTTTCTGCAAATCATTGTGTGTAATGGCCACACGATGAGGGCTGGGATGTAAAGAATATTTCCCACCTTGAAAATTCTGTCGGCAGTTCTGTGATTGCCAAAGGATAAGCAAACACATCTGCTTCAGTGGCGTCATCAAAGATTGAATTATGATGAAAAGTGCAATTTTATAAATGTATGCAATTTTAAGCTTGTTCAGCCTACCTCTGCAAGCTACTTTGCAACCCACCTTCACCTGAGGTTCCAGTCATTTCCGATTTAACCAGTATCACACCTGTGGTCACGTCCTGCTCTCTCTTTTTCCTGTTTTAATGCATCGTGGACAAAGCCATACACCAGGGGTGTCAAAAATAATGCCCAGGGGCCAGAAATGGCCCAGCAAAGGCTCCAGTCGGGCCAGCTTGACAACTTTGTGAAATATGAAGAAGTGCATAGATTTTGTATTTTTAAAAGATTTACAACTTTTTCCTGTTGATGAAGGACCCCATATTCATACTACACCAAAGTAATTAAGTAATAGATTAACAATTAAATGATAAAGTTCCTGTTTATTTTTGTTTCTTTTTTATTTATTATTATTATTTTATTTTATTATTTATTTTTATTATTTATTTTATTATCTACTACAGAAATCCCTTTCTATACCAGAAGGGGAAATAAAACAACGTAGTACAACAAAATGTTTTTTATAATTACTGGAAAGTCTGGACTGAGAACGTTTCCTGTAACTTTACCCGTTTATCATGTCGTTCACCATTCTGGCTCAGTTCAGATTAATGGCCCACATCGTAAACTGAATACACTGTCCTCTAGTAACAGAGTGAGAGCGTGAACTAATGCTTACACTCTCTTGCTTTCAGGTATTGGGTACCTATTGTGTGGCTCCCTATTGTGTTTTATCTGAGCTGGCACTGCTATACCACCCTGGCACAGGGCACCACCAGGCTAGCCCTCTCTTCAGGTAACTCACACACACCTGTGTTTGTGCCACAGTCACTTGTGTTTTCATTTTCATTTGTGTGTCCACATTTCTGTTTGAGCCATCTATAGCCGAGCATGTGTGTGTTCCCAGGCTTCTCTATCCCTATCCACAAGTACTTTTTCCCAGTCCTCTTTATGATGGGCTGGTTCTTGTGGTCATTCATCGAGTACTGCATCCATCGCTTCGTCTTTCACATGAATCCACCAGCTCATAACTACTACCTCATCACGCTACACTTCCTCCTGCATGGACAGCACCATAAGGTATGAACAACCACTGCTGAGGTCACAGCTGTGAGTCATCAAAGCAATATTTGTTTTTGTTTAAAATCATCCTTTATGGCACCAGCTGAGGTGGTAATCTTATATTGCAGGGAGGAGGGGGGCCGCAAACGTCGTCCTGTTTCCAAAGACTTATATGAACTGAATACATTTCAAGTATAAGTAGTTACAATGTGCAAATATTGTAAGTTAAATTATTGTAACATTAACCACAGTATAGTTTAAGCCACAGGGGGAAACTGATTTAGCTTAGCTTAATAAAGAGTTAAAATAAACAATGCAGAAGCAGTGTGTGGGGAAAAATGCTGTTCATCTCAGTTTCTGTTTTACTAGGTTGTAAAATTAGAGTATTTTTTTATTAGCTTCTTCTATGTAAAACCTTATAACTGATAGTCGGTGTAATTAGGAAATGTGATGTTTTTCCTGTAGAAGCTATAAAGTCGCACTACAAAATCTCACAAACCCCCCGATTCCAAAGATTCTGGGACTATCTATAAGCTGTAAATAAAAAAAAAAACACAATACAATGATTTTTCAAATCTTACTAACCTATATTTTATTCACAAAAACAAACATTAGAAAAATATTGTAATATTCAGACTCTAATCTGAGTTTGACGGCAGCAACAAGTTGTTGGGAGAGGCTGAGGAAAATGCTGTGAAAGATATCGCCACTTGCTGATCATTTTTGAATTACTGTCTGATGAATACCTGTGATGGCTTTTTGTTGCGGGGGGAAAAAAAGGACGTAAAATGGTCAAAAATGGCCACCGTATATAAATCTTTTTATTTATTTTCTCTCTCCAGTCTCCGTTTGACGGCTCTCGGCTGGTCTTCCCTCCCGGCCTCGCCTCCTTAGTAGTGGCGGTCTTCTACATGTCCATCCATTGCGTGCTCCCAGACATCCTCGGAGTATGCGTGTTTGTCGGTGGGCTGGGCGGCTACGTCGTATACGATATGATCCACTACTACCTTCACTATGGCTCTCCAAAGAAAGGCTCATATCTGTACAGCCTGAAGGCCTACCACGTCAAACACCACTTCGAGCACCAGAGATCAGGTGAGGATTACATTTGCTAACGGCCTTAGAAGAAATATGATTTTGTTTTTTCTTTCTTTTTCTGATGGGGATCTTTATTTTTCTCACCAGGTTTCGGGATCACCACCACATTCTGGGACCACCCCTTCAACACAACCATCCCTGATGAAAAATTCTGACATGGAAACGGCTCCCCCGAAGGGCCACAGGACTTGTCAACCACCCTCTTTTAGCCCCCAGCCTGCCTTCTCCAACCATCCCAACTCCTTATTTACATCTCTGCAGCCATATAACTTCCACAGACTAGGAGGAACTTCAGGGCCACTGCATCCAGTCCATTAATACTCTGTGTAACACATTAACCAGCACCACAATATTACCTTAAGCTCAGTCACCTGGGTGTGTGTCAACCTGCCTGCACTATTTACTCACTGTGATCATTTCCACTAAGATGTGAGGGCTTTCAGTGCCATTTTTTCCTTCTACTACTACTTCTTCTGTTTTCATTTAAGAAATCTGCCCCCTGTGCTTTACCAACACCAACCTATCACCTGATCACCACTCAGAATGTCGCCGCATACAGCTGGGAGGTGGCCGTGGAGAGAAAAATCTCTTTTGTGATGCATGTGGTCAATTTGAATTAGATTTAATCTTTTAGTCTAAAATCATACAGGGGGACAACTGTGATTAAAATTACTAATCTGACAGCACAATGCTCACACAGCTCACAAACGCACACTGTTCAAGAGGTAACAGGAAGTGATAGATGGTAGGTGAATGTTGAAGACGGGTGGAGCGGAGGGGGTGAGAGATGATTAGAAAGAGTGCATGTGAGAGAGAAAGTGTGACAGAGATTGAGAGAGAGTACGCTAACTATTTAATCTACTGAGGAAAAAGGCTTCTTCCCGCCTTCGCATCATCTACAGCTTACATATTCCTCGTCACTGTCACTTTTCTCTGCTACGCTGCTATAAACTGTTGCGCTGCTAACAAATCACAAAAGTTCCCTCCACCACATTTGGGTTCGCTTGATTTAAGAAGCAGCCGTGCCTGGAAAACCTTCAGTTTCACATTTGTTTTTGCTGAGATACGTTTAACTTATTATCACCAAATCTGCAGGAGTGAGTTTATACTGTAGGAGGCTAATTCCATGTACTGTTAATGTGATGTAAAAGCAGAGTTCAGAATGTCTGAAACCCCTGTGGAGATATATTTTTGCAAGTCTGTAATATTTCCATCTTTTTATTTTTTTCCTCATTAATAATTCAACAAAGATGTAAAAATAATATTTTGTATGAAGCTTTGTACAGTAGAGGAGATTCTTTAATCGCACAGTCTTCATTTTGTCAGGTTGACTATATGTTAGAGAGTGAGTGTGGTTGTCAGG